ACGAGAACTTTTCAGGAAAGTTTCTTTGTCAATTTTAATTAAATGGCTTAATTAAAATTAACACGTACACGTTGGAAGTCTACGTTGGCAGTCAAGCTACACTCTGTATAGTATCTGCAGAGATACGCAAAGCAGCACTACCAAAAATCGCCCAAATAATATTGAAGTTTAATGTGTTGTTGTTCCGTATCCTAAGCTATCGTAACAAATGGATTGTGAGTATAGACTAGAAGCGGCAAATGGAAATTAAATGAAAACTACAATAAAAACAAAGTGAACAAAAACGTTTCCACTAAGAATTCGATTATACATAGACTTTGCATAGATATGGACTACTCGTATCTCGAGCTGAGCACAAATTGTTTTGCACGTTTGCAGATGTTTTACTCCAAGGCAAACATTATTTTGCTTTCTAACATTTTCTCATGTGACGTTCGAGGATAAGGATAACCTTCATCCTTTTAATATTTTTACTCATTTTTGTTTGGTTTATTGCAACATTTTTTATACTTTATTTATTTTCCGTGTGCACTTGTTGTACTTGTGCTACTCGACGAATTGTGTTTATTTATATTTTGTTGTTGCTTTTCTGTTTTACAGTTTTACTGTTTTTCTACTTGCTACTTTCTGCTTTCAGTTTTCAGTTTTCAGTTTTCATCTTTTTTGAAATGAAAAAAATACATTTGTGCTGAAAAATATTAAAACAATATCTCAAAGGATTACGTCCCACAGTAGAATGCACTGATACAGTAGCGCAAGTGTAAGCACAGAAAAAGTAAATAAATACTCGTAAAAACGTAGAGCAGAAATAATAACTGAAAAAGGAAACAAATACGAAATTAACAATCATGAAAAACGTTCAGCCTTTAAATGTACGTTTTTGTGATTGCGACTGTGTGCGATTGTATGCGTGTGTTTGTGTGAAAGTGTGCGGTAATTGCTTGTTTACAACCCAAAGTGTTAACTAATGTGGCGCCCCAAAATATGCTACAGTTTTTACAATATCCTTACAATAGTTGTCTTTATTGGGTTATGTATTTGCAGTTTAACAAAATAAAATGAAGTTTTAAAGCGAGATTCCCCACTTTTGTGCCGCAGTTAACATGAATGCAAATATTTTTTATTTTAATGAGTAAGATATCTACTCATATAAAGCTGAGTAGTTAAGGATTTAATTATACGAAAAAGTAGGCCAAGAAGTCTGGTACATGCTTGTAATAGTCATATATGACAAATGAAGACATTAAATATTTAAAAGGAAAGAAAAACGGAATATAAATGAAATTGTATTTTATATTTATAATATGTGAAGCCTTATATGTACAAATTTTTAAATTTACTAGTTGAATAAAAAATTTGTTTAAAAAGAAAAGTTTTGAATAGTAGTAAAGTACTACTTACTTAAACTATAATTTAAAACAAATATTTACTTTGATTTTAAGATCAATGTGACAATAGTGACTACTTTTTTTTAATAGGAACTGTGATATTTTATAAGGAAGTTTAGAAAAGTAGTGCACTACAAAAAAAAAGAAAAAGAATTTTGATTGTTGTAGTTCACCACTTTTCGAAACCTCTCTATTAAAATAAACAGTTAAGAAAATAACTATTTAAATAGAAAGACACTGAAAAGTAGTAAATTACAACTATAATATCACTTTTTTTACTTTTTTTATTTTGAGTATTGTCAAATACTCATTATCTATGATCTTTAAATATATATCTTGGATTTAAATATTCAAAAATAGCTTTTGAAACCGGTGTGATTTATTTTTTAACCAACTTTTTCTATACAGTACTCGACATTGGACTTCTTACCTGAACTTTTTGTCAATATTGATATTAATGCTCATCTACAAATTTACTTAATGTATTTTATTAGAAGGAAATATTGTTTTTGCAGTTAAATAATAAAAAATAAATTTTAGTTTTAGAAAAGTTTAAGATATTTAAACATCCTCAATGTTTTGTCTATATTTTAAAATCCCATATGTCAACGGTAGAACATACAGTAGAACAACTCATAAAACTATACGCATATGTAAACAATAAAACTCAATGTGTAAACAAAAAGTAACCACAATTTTAAATGTTTTCTTTAATTAAATCTTTAATTTAATCTTTAAAAACAGTTTCGAGTGATTATAAAATTTATAACACAGCAGTGTCCAGTTTGTAAAACATTATTGGATTGCCTAATTCGCTAATACTTAAGCTTATTTTAAGTTATTTCCTTCAACTCAATTGTTGTTGAAAAATGTCATCCTTTGTTTATAAAAACCGGTCTCAAAATTATATATCTGGAAAATTGCGACATTATATAGCATAAATGTTATAATTCGCCCCCAATTGTTACATGAGCAACAAATTTTGAGAACAAAATATTTGTGAAAGTTAATTCGTGTGAACTTTATGACATTTCTATTTCATCACAAACATATGCAATGTTAATACTTCTTTTAACAAGAAAAATCTGTATATATTTGTCTATATTTTCATGATCAATCCACATATTAAGAAGACCAAACAATGAATCATCCACATCTGAGAGGCCTATTTGATTTTTCAGAAAGCATCTGTACCATTTGAAAACGCTCATCATTATTATATACTATCGCCACCAAGTTTTGTATGCCTTACTTCATTAAATTTGTTTATTTTTAACGAAGTTTGACATAAACTGTTTGATCGGTAATATTGTCGCACAAAAAATCTCCAGAACCATTACTGTATGTCTCACTCAGTTACACAGCCGACACGAACTAAGCATCGCAGTTGCATGAGTGTTATTATGTACGGTACTTAATATGCAACCAATACACAAAAAGTGACTCGGCTCGGCTCATCTCGTATCTCTTTCTAAAGTTTTTGATTTTGTTTTTTGCTGTAGCTGAACAAACATTTTTTTTCTTCTATTGTGAAAAATGAAATATACTATTTGTCATTTCTGTCTATTATTATTACCAGACAGCTAAAAAAAATCTGAGATCTTATCTTATCGGTAGTTCAATATGTTGGAAGTGATATTTAATAGAACTTTCAGTACAAATGTGAATGCAGGAATAAAAATCAATGCAATTATTTCCAATTAGGGGAGATAATAGATTCATATATTACCATGGTTAGCAATATACTTTCATATACTATTAATAAGTACATAACTGTTCAAGTATTTCAATTTTTCACTGATATTATTGTTCTATATAATGTGAGTTTAAATGATTTCTTTCTTTCTTTAATTCATCATTTTCTAAACAAAAAAGTCCATACTGTAGAATAATTAAATAATAGGGTATAATTAAGTTTTAAATTATATTATAAAAAACAACCCAACAAATAATCTATTTGTCTACATTAATTAAAAATATAATCTTGTCATAATTGCATATAGTACATTTCTAACTTATTTACTTAAAGTACTCCTTGATAATCTTTTTCTTATATTTGATATAACAAATCTACTCTACTTTACTTATTGATAAATTCTTGTATTATTTGGATATAGTAGCTTGGTAAAAGTAGTCTCATACTCTTAAAATGAACTACAATATTGAACAACTCGAATTGGTAGCAGACTTAAATCAGTAGAATATTTAAGAGATTATAACATTTCCATTTCACCAGTACAGAACCGTGCTATTTGAATTTATGGTCGGTTTATTGTTTATGTTACTACTTTCTGTCAAGACGAAGGAATTGAAAGAAGGTATTGAGCATTATATGAACCCGTAGCACACCGGTAATCGTTGTAATCTAATTCTAAGCACAAATACTACGTATAAAGAACACAAAAAATACATGTTGAAACAAAAATAATAAGAATACAAAAAGAATATATTAAGAATCTAATAAGAATATATTCCGAATATAATCAAAACTTTATGAGAGTTTAGAAATATTATAATAGAAGTATAAAAAGACTATATTAAAATTATGAAAAGATCATTGTAGGAATATTGTCATATAATTGGAACACAATAAGAATATAAGAATGTAATAACAAAAAATGGATTAAATAGGAATAATAACCTGTTACATAAATACAAGAAACTCTATTTCGTTGGTTATTGGCTTAAGTTCATTCTTTATTACTAATTTTTGTTTTCAGAACATTACTTGTTGAATAACTGTTTATGTAATATGAATTTGTAAGAAATATGATGAGAATATGGTAACATTATAAAACAAAATCAGATTAAGTTTTGTTCTTGTTCTAGGGATTAAAAAAACATAATAATTAGAAGAAAAAATAAGATGAATATAGAAAATTTTATAACCAAAGTAATTGACTTCACTCTCTACTCTTAATATTCAAAACAAAACTCAAGAAAATGAGAAAATTGTAATAGAACTATAATAGAAATATATTAAGAATAAAAGAAGGATGAAATAAGTATAATAACCAGTAAAAATAAGTTATTTATATCTCCTAAGTTCTTGACCTAAGTTCACTCTCAACTTTTTATATTCAGAGGAAAACATTACGTGTTGAATAATTGTTTATATAGGTTAGTCCTAGTTTTAAATGTTTCCTCCTTCACGATGTTGGTAACTATCCTTCATTATAGACAACTATTATTTCTATTATTTCTTTATTATATATAAGACTAACTAATTATATCTTAAAAGAGTACATCTTGGATCAATCACATTGTTGCTATTATTCATATTTACTTACTGTACAAAACCGGTTTTTAATCACAAAGGGAAGGGAAGTCACATATCATATGTATTTCCGAATGCAATTTTTCAGATTTACAAAAATTATTAATAAAATTATATGAATGAATTCTAAACAAATACCATTACTACACGGAAGATTATACACAGTATCTTAATCAAAATAAAAACACAGTCTGTTTATAATCATGCAATTAAAAATATTTTTCAAACAATATTATATCAACTAAAAATGAAAAATTTAAAAGAGAAATTATTAATCATTTTTAGTATTTTTTTTAATATTAAACAAAATAATAGCTATTAATAAAATTTATTACCTTCTCCAATATAAACAGATGAATTCCAGATGTTCTCGTTTGCAATGGAAATCACTTATTTACATTTTAGACAACAGACAGTTCTTGTTCTTGTTTTTGTTATTGTTATTGTTATTGTTGTGGTTTTGGTTTTGTCAGGAAAATAGATTTGTGTTATTTTAGAAAGATTTTGGTCTTTTCGAACTTTTGGCGCAAATCTTCAAAGAATTTTGATTAATTTTTTTTGGTTTTTTTTTGTTTTCACCGCATCAACGCAATAATAAATCAATGTTCCTTATATCTTTTTAAATAGAATAATGTTTATTTTCATTAACGAGTTGAGTTTTGAGTTTTATTTTTTTACTTATATTATTAATAACACTTTTTAATTAAATTAAAATAATTAATTTTAAAATCATTACATAAATTATGGGTTAGCAAATGTATAACCAAACACGTTTAAAACAATTGACATACTGATACAGACGGCAATACGCTTTATTACTTAAAGCAGCTGATATTGTTTTGTAGAGATTTTCGCGCAGAAGCCCTGTACATTTCGAATAGTTCGAGTTCGAAAACGTGCGTTTGTTGTTGCTTCAGTTTGATTCTTATAAAAACTCTACACTGCGAGACATACAAACCAAAACATACTAGATACAATTACTGCGAGATATGATGAATTGTTGATAATGACGGCTGATTGTGCTAGCGTCTGCCGTTGTTAGGTAGTCTTGAAGATAATTCAATACTTTTTGAAGTAAAAAAATGCATGTCGTTTTGACTTTTAGGCTTCGAAGTCTCACATACACACACACATACTCGCCCTTAGCATACACATACACACATGTGATAAGTGAAATACCTTGGCGTATATATTTATTTTTATGTATGTTGGGATTTTGTTATAGGCATTGTGTACATAGAAAATTCCTTTATTTTTAACACTTTTTATTTGACACCCCCAAAAGGAAGCCATAAGGATACTTAGGATGTGAATGTAATTTAGGCGTGTGTGAATTCGTGTGCAAATCTGTTTGCTTATTACTAAGGGAAGCTTAAGTGAGCAAAGAAAATGTCAAACGGCATCAAATTTTCTAAAATCAGCATATTTTATGTTTAAATCAGTACGCTAATTTGCACAAAGATACAAATTTCAAATATTTAAATATTTTCCACAGTTTCTAAAATACTTGCACCGGCACGTTAGTATAGATTTTTGTGAATAACAAAGTTAAACAAAATCTGAAGTACGAGTATGAGGGAAAATGTGTTTCTAGAATTAAATTTGCCTGCTACTGAACACGAAATATTAGAGATTACAGACAGAATTTAATTTCATCGTTAATGGTTATACTTAGTAGGAGGAAAAAAACAGTAATGAGTAGCATAAATGTAGCTAGAATCCTAGACAGGGGAAGCCGAATAATTTTTTTTGATTGAAAATTTTTTTTTGAAATAAATTTTTTGTTATTAAAATACGAAATATCACAGATTACAGACAGATTTTAATTTTAAAGTAAAAGGTAGGACTTATTAGCAGAAAAAAAATAACACGCAGCATGTATTCCACCAAAAACTTGAACCGGGGATGCCAAACAATTTTTTTAAATAACAATTCTTTTTTTTGAATTAAGTTTTTATGTTACTGAAATACGAAATGTGAGAGATTACAGACCAAATCAAATTTTATAGTTAAAGATTTCAATCATTAGAAGTAAGAAAAAAATAACACGCAGCATGAATGTACTGAAAAGCTTGTACCGGGGGAGCCAAACAATTTTCTTCATTTGAAAATTTTTTCAAATTAAATTTGAAAGATTGACTCATTGTTTTATTTTAAAAGCTCAATTAATAAATATCTGCTAACAGATTCTTGCCTATTATTCTAAATATTATTTAAATTTAATTAACAAATAAGAATTTGATTAGATTTAAGTTCGTGTGACAAGCAGTGCTGTTTAGGAATGAGATAAATATTTAATACTTACATCACATAGTTTAAGCATTATTTTTGATACATAGTCACTAAGTTTTAACTGTTTATTTAAGAATCTTTTTAATATATTCTAACAAATGAATAAAGATTTAGCTACAATGCGAGTTAGCTCATATGGTATGAATGGAGGATGTTGTTCCTGCAAAAAGCTTTCGAAAATGGCGAAAAGACTTAATCACAATAGAAGGAGATTTTATTAAGGGGCGAAAATATAAAGTGTGCAGCAATTTATCACAGATTTATGTAGGTAATTATTGAATTAACTACAACGAGGTGAAAAATAATTTATGGTTTCAAGAACGTTCGGGTCTACGTTCCGGAGCCAGCGACGACCAAATGTTGTTCGAGACCTCCAAAAAGGACCTCACAATCACGTCCCAGGGGATTATAACAAAAACAACAAGAGTAACTCAAAATATCATCATCCAAATCCTGTCCATAATTTTCCACTATCTATTCCAACTTTATTCTTAGCTTTGTGTTTAACTAATTATTGCTTGTTATTATTTTAAAGTAATCGCTTGGACTCCATGCAGGGATTTATTTGCTCCATTGATTATCTGTGATGCAAGATATATACCCAAACTATCGTCCCATCGATTTGATTACTGTTTTCATCATATCTGCAAGTTTTTTCTTTCAGAGTTGTATTTGTTAAATAGCATTTTCTAGTTATGTCTTTAAATTATATTTTCGTCGCTGTTTGAACCACTTGCTACTTATAGATTACTTAGTGGTTATGAGTAAACGTTTTGCACCCGTACGTGTTAAAATGCAATGTCATACCTTTTATTTCACGGATATAACTAAATTGATTTTAATAATCTTCAATCTTTCATTTCTTCAACATCAAGTAAAAGTAAACAGTTGGTGAATAATACTGTAAGATACGGAAAAGAAAAAAAGGCGGTAATACGTCTGATTTCGGCTTACAAAAAAGACTGCCAAGATGCATATATATCAAGATATATATATATATCAATATATAAAGCGGCTACTTTGCAGTTAACAAATTATATAAAAAATTGTTGATATTGTAATTGTTAAGGTAAATTAAATTAGTTATAAATATAGAAGCATTTTATAATTAACTGATTCAATATCAAATTTATTATTAAGTGGTAAAAATCACATTCAAAACCCCTTGAAAAAACTAGTATATTTATTTTGTGAACACTTCACATACTCTTTCATACAGTTATGAAATTCACATCTACATATTTTTATAGATCAATATATGATATGTCCTTTAAATAAATCATAATATTTTATAATATTTTTTTGAAGGATAAAAATTATTTTTTACATAATATACAAATATTTGTTACATATTGATTGGTTGAATATAATGTCTATCTGTTTTTCCAAATAAATTTGTAGGCAAATCAATGAATTTTTTCTGATATTAAATACAATCTTTAAATACATAAAGTTTTTAACATATATATATATATTTTAAGTTTAAATATAAATATAAAAAACTGTGAACTACATTACCAGTTATCGCATACATCACAACATAACGAAAAACTAAAGATATATATTGCATTCAGAAACGTATTTCTTCTTCGTCTAACATTTTTTAGGATCATTTCGGTTTCGGAAGGAAGAGAACATTCAACTTTGTGGACACTCTATTGCTACCTTCAATATTGGCTCTATAAATATGAAAAGATTCTTCATTTTAAAAGTTGTCCAACATCTCTGTTTAATCGACTCATAGTCGATTCTTACCACTTTTGTGTTATCGTTGATTTGCCAAACCGAAAAGCAATCGGTTCTGTCCTTATTCTATTAGTCAGTAGCCTATTGTAATTAAAAGCATCCACCAACTGATACAGAGAATAAAGATTTCTTGCGTCGAAATATCCATCACAAAGTTAAACAGCAGCAAATTCAATGTTGAGCTCTAAAACGCTCAGCAAGAACTCAAAACACGTCATGTGTCGTGAGTGGATGACAGGTTATGAGGACTTGTTTGAAGATAGTTTTTAAGGTTAGCTGATTTCTTCAGGCTTGCTATACGTTTGTTTAGGGATGAATCAAAGGCTTTTTCAAAGTGAGTAAAACACCGTATTAGTTGTTTTTAAGTTAGTTTTTTTCATGGCAACTCCATAGTAAGAGTGGATTGGTTATCGAAGATTGTTAAGATGTTTCTAATGAGCACAACTGAGTAGTGGAAAATATTGTAGATATTATTCTGCAGTTATTTTAATAACTTTTTTGTTTTACTTTGATTTAACAGAGTGGAAGTTTATTGAATTGTGACGTTAGTTATAAAATGCCTTCTTCGCATAGTATGTGGATATATCTGCTGAGTTCCTGCCTGCTCCGAGAGCATTATTCTTTCTGATTTCAGCAACAGAAAATCTCGCTTCATGTTAATTATTCTGTTTTTGTGTTTCTCAACTGAATCTTGAATCATTTTTTTACTCATGGAAATTTAATTCCTGATACACAATATAGCTGTGGTTACGGCTGTATGGCGTATATAAACTGATTAGATTGTTTTCGCTTTTCATAGTTCATATTTATTTTATTTAAGCACCATTTAGTAAATCATAGATAAGCTCATAAAATAATTACATTTTTATTAGCAATTAATCAATTGGTGCTCTGAGTAAATAATCACAAATAATTAATTTGTTTGTGTGCATATATGCAGCTATATACATATATACTTCCACATGCAAGTATATTAGTATCAATTAATCTAATTTTTAAACTAATATTGAGATAAAAAATAGAAATTATAGAAATTTTTTTTTGGTTTCAATTGTTTTAAAATGCATCACTTTTGTGTTCAAATGTCAACTGCTGTTTTTGCCAACTGAACATAAAAATAAGTATCTTTGGGAATTCCCAGTGAAAACCAGAGCTTAATAAAATTTCAAAGGATGTTGTTTCTGTTTCTGTTTCAGTTTCTGGTGAATTCTGCGAAAAATTTGAGTTGCACATTCATGTCGGAAAGTGGTACGATTGGTGTAATCTGTTCTATTTAACTGCCAACTGAAAATTTATGATGACAGCAAAGTGCAAATAAATCCTCGAATGCTTTTTAAGCTTTGAACTGCAACTTCATTTCTGTTTTTTTTTCCTTTTTCGATTCTATTTAATTGAATGCGTTTTAAAAATTTTTCTTTGAGGATATTTTCGAAATTACCGATTGCGTATATTTACTTTATAATTACTCAATTACTGTTAATAGGCATCCTTATGCCATTCCATCGGAAAATCGTTTGCTGGAAACATTTCATGAAAATAAAAATCAT